AAGCGGTTGCCTGCTGAGGGGGTCACAGTAGTGAAACAGACTTCAGCGGGGTAAGAGTTCGTCGTTCAGTGTCCAGCTCATTTAACCGCAAGAAGCGTGTAACAATACCTTGAAACTTCAACAGTTCCCTCACCCAAGTTTTCAACTTACAGCTTCTAAGGGTTCTTCCACTATAACTAAGTCCACATGACCCCAAAAGTAATAAAAATCCACAGTTAAATGCGATAATACGGAATTAAAAATTCAACGGGAATTTTTATTAACATCCAGAAAACTACAACGGGAGTGACAAGGTGCTTTTATTGAAGATATTCTGTGTTTGTCTACTTCCAGAAATTTTATCATAACTAGACCTGTATGATTTCAAAACAAAAAGCCATAAACAAACCAAAGAGACTAGCAAGAAGTATAGAATAAAAATTGAACGGAAATTGTTTTATTACCACCCAGGAAACAATGAAGGAAGAAGTGGAAAGGCTCTCTTGAAGAATTCGTGTGTGTACCCCCCGCCTCGACCCCTTCCTGCAGTTCCCCCCTCCCCCCACCAGGTTACAAGCATGATGTCGGTGTTCGGACAAGGTGGAACGAACAGGTAAAAGTGGCGTGTTTGCAAGGACTACAGCAGTTAACTGCTGTTACCTTGGTGAAGAACACTAGTGAATTTCGTTCATCTGACGCGTGTACCACGCGGTTCGTTTAATACTGCAATAACCAAATAACTAGTGCCGGAAAAATTAACGGGGGAATGTTGCTGTGCTTTACTTTGAAACATATTATAAACCGGAACTATTTAATTATTGTATTTTTTTAAATCGTGCATCTATATTTGAAGATAAAATAATGAGCTGTTGGTTTTAAATAATTTCGCATTGTCTTTTGAAAACGTATCTGTATCACTGAATGGCAGTTTTTATTTCATCTTATAACGTGATAAGTGTTTATTATTAATGGATTCGTTTTACAGTTTGCGTCAAGTAACATGTGCGAGGATCAAAGATAAACTGGGGACAATATCACATAGAAGTGTTTCCTGTTAATATGTGAATAGTTATCTGTATTCGCAAATTATCTTCAAATCAGCGAATCGTGTGAAATTATTTACTGTGTTCTTAATCACGATAAAACAAAACAAAATCTGTGGAGACTTGTTTTAAATTCTATCGGGTAATTTCTGTTTACACTTACGTGCTCAGTGCTGATATGAAAGGACAGAATAAAATCACGAAGGGCCGAAAACAGAAGTGAATAACATAGACAGCAGAAAGTCTTAACTCGAAACAGAATTTTCTGTTCTTGATTAAAACAAGAGAGAAGCGAACCGCGAGTTAACATATTTAGTTTGGGCGCGAATGGTTATTTTATAAATACGAGGCACAAATATGTAAATCACATACGTTTACTAACAGAATAAGCTTGAATGACAAAGCAGTTTTTGTAGTGTCTTTACACTAATAGTAAACAACAATAAAATTTCCTTCTCAAATCGCAGACCCAGGAAAATATAATGCTGACAACTTTTACAGCCAGTCTTATTCATGCAGACATTTAAAATAATACTGAAGCATTTCATTTTAAAGATCTGAGTTCGATTTTTAACCCGATATGAATACGTGTGAAACTATCGAGTCTAAGTACAGAACTCTCTAGGCTATAATTTCCAACTCCTTTGACAGCAACATAAAGACGTTCAGTGCACGTTTACCAGAGATTCTAAAACAACCGGATTCATACCAACTTCCAAGAAGTACCTCTCCACTTTCCCTTCAGCCACTGAAAATGGAAACTGCTGTAGCAAGTGGCAATCAAGTTCAAGGCGAGAACGAGAAGCTAGTTTCTGGTCCTTCCAACCTATCGCCTCAACAGTGAAAGCGACGACAGAAAACCCAACCAAACCAATTAATTTCTTCTGAATCGGCAGTGACAAGAATTATACATTTGTCACTACTCCCGTTTTCACGTCTGAAGGACAACTAACGACACCTAGATTCCCTTCAACTTAGTTGTTCACCTGGAAGTGAATGCTAACGTCGAGGCACAGTGACCGAAAGCCACCTGTTACTAAGGTCATACATATTACGTAAAGAACGTCTTAAAAGGGGTCAGGAAAATCCGTTAATCCACTACTCTGACTGTCCTTCAGTCCACTGAAAAGAGAATGGTTCCAAGAACAGTGTTGACTCTGAATTCAGTGAACTTGGAAGAGATTACGTGTCGGGTGTTGAGGAAATAATACGGTGTAAAGCTTGAATCATCGACGGTTTTTCGAGTTAGTCTACTAACGGATTGCTAGAGAATAGTGTCAGTGGAACAGGACAGTCGAAGCACAGTTGAAACATGGCTCCAGACTTGAACACAACAGAGTCATTACTGGAGGAACTACTCCTTCGGGACTACAGCGATTCTGGAATCAATGAAAGTACCATCGCATCCAAAGTGGCTACAGCAGGATCAGAACTGATTGTTGCTAAAATTGTAGCAATGTTGGTGCTCGGGTTATGCTCTTTCGGCCTTGGAATTCTGCCCGTGAAACTTGCATCATGGTTACATTGGAACAAAGAACCACAATCAACAAAGAAATCTTCTTCGCAACATTTTGTGATATCGTTGCTACTGTGTTTCGGCGGAGGAGTGCTGTTGTATACGACCTTCTTGCATCTGCAGCCAGAAGTCCGGGAAGCCATGGAGGTTCTGCAAAATAACGGAGAGCTACCAGAATTCCGCCATGATCTCCACTTCGCTGAACTCGTCTTCTGCGCGGGGTTCTTCTTCGTGTACCTCGTCGAGGAACTCGTACACGCTGTTCTCGACCGTCGTCCACACGAACATGAGGACGAAGCTGTCCTGCATCGCACCATGAGCCTTCGTCGTTGCTCCCGACATCCTACACACAGTGGCGTCGATTGTAACGGCGACAGCTCTGGAACTTTGATACCGAGAGTCAGCCTCAAGAATTCTTCAGCTGCTGGTAATAAAAATCTAATTAACTCCGGCGACAACTTGGATAACGTTATCACTAACGGAAGTACCGGAAGTAGCATGTCTGCAAGTACACAAGGCCTTCTCAACAGCTCTCTGTCGACAATTATGATTTTGGACAGCGCAAAAAATTCCCCGCTTGATGCTGAGGCGCACATGACAGGAGGTCCACTAACAGGGCTCAGCTCTGTCAAACAGAATCACCACCATCACCACGGACACGGGCATAGCCACGCGATTCCTTTCAAAAATGATGAAGATGGTTTGTCAACAAGTAGTTCGACAGTGGCGAAATCTTTCCGCGGACTCCTGGCGGTACTGGCACTGTCCTTCCACGCGGTTTTTGAAGGATTGGCGGTGGGCCTTGAGTCGAGTGTCGGCAACGTGTGGTACCTATTCGCCGCCATCGCCACTCACAAGCTGGTCATCGCCTTCTGTGTGGGTGTTGAATTGATCAGCACCAGAACAAGACTCGTGCTCATTTTTGTTTACTTGGCCACTTTCGCTGCGGTGACGCCACTTGGTATCGGCGTCGGAATCGCCCTGAGCAGTGACGGCGAGGACGCAGGCACCAGCAGCACAGTGGCGACAGTGGTGCTTCAAGGCATGGCCGCCGGCACCTTGCTGTACGTCGTGTTCTTCGAGGTGCTTCAGAGGGAACGAGCCAGCACGCAGTCTGGGATATGGCAGCTCATAGCCATCATGGCGGGTTTCGTCGTCATGTTTGCTCTACAGCTAGTCAGTAAGTACCACATTTATGTCCTTGTTGGAAATTATGTATGTAATTTCGGACAGGGTTTCGTAAAGTCAGTCATACTTTATTACAAATATACAAAAAAATTTGTACTATGTAAATGCATTGGCCGTTATATCTGTATATACTTTCAGGAATTATTGTCAAACTAATGCAAAATTTCACCCTACGTTAGTTTCAAGGTTCGTTGGACAGTCATACTCGATTAATGGTTGGAAGAGGAGGCGTTCGGATATGAGGGGTAAAAGTTAATATGTTAAATGAGTAGCCGACAAAGGGCAATACTTAAATTTGGAGAATCGCAACAAAACTATAGCTTGAGGAATAGTTTTATTGTTACACAAACAAAACTACAGTTTTGCCTTTGGTTTTGTATGGGTGTCAAACATGGTCTCTCACTTTAAGAGAAAATCACAGATTGAGGATGTCTGAGAACATGGTTCTGACGAAAATATTTTGGCGTAAGAGGTATAAAGTGACAGGAGGATGGATAAAAAACTGCATAATGAGAGGTAGCATAATTTGTACTCTTCATACAATTTTATTAGGAAAAACAAATTAAGGATGATGATATCAGTGGAGCATTTAGAACGCGTGAGGGAGACGCGAAATGTATATAAAATCTTGGTTGGAAAGTCTGAGTGGAAGAGAACATTCCGAAGTCCTAGGCGCAGATGGCAAGAAAATGTTAGAATGAAACTTAAGCAAATAGGGAACATGTAGACTGAACTTATCTGACTGAGGATAATACCGGTTCCGGGTTCTCGTAAACACAGTTATGAACCTGCGTGTTGCATATAAGGCGGGGAAGTTCGTGACTAATACCAGCTTCTCGAGATAGACTTTGCTCCACGGAATTAGATGCTAATGTAAAAAGCCAATAGTGACTGCACCTTGAAATATTTAGCAGCATTTTTCAGTCGTAGAGATAAAAAGACTTTGTTTGGAGAAGGCGCTCGTGACCTATTTCAATACACTCTGTGAGCAAGAGAACGAAATTCCTCAAGCAAGACAGCCAGTAACATGGCCGAGATTCGAACTGGTTTCCTCCTGAATACAAATCTAGAGTGTTACCGCTACATTAACCTGCTCGGTCATTTACCTGTGACGTTCTGTCACGTGCATAGGATGGGCCTTCAACACCGAGACAAACTGTCGAGACCCAAGTGATTGTCTGATCCCTGCCACGTTGCGTCTTCAATGGCGCCATGTTCTTGTGCAAACGACGGCCATCAGTTCACAATTTTGTATTTGCATCATAATCTATCACAGTCGCGGTTCACTCAGTACGCTGGGAAATGAAAAATAAGGAGCGTCAAATCGGAATAGAGAGGAAAGCGTATCAGTTTTCAGGGAACGTTCCCCACACTCGGTCTAAATCCATAACATTTGCATTACACTTCAAAACTAATCATTCCATTCCGTGCGTAATCAAGGAAAAATGATAAACTTCTGACATAGAAGTTTTCGTATTGCGCCTACTTTACGATATTATTCTCCATGCACCACAATCAGCATCATGCTTTACGATTCTAAGAGATTTTTATGAAATATTATTAACTTTCTAACTTGAAATAGCTCAGTGGTCACTATATGAAAAATTGATATTGGTATAAAATAAGGAAAATGTGGGAGATGAATTATTATTATAATAATAATAATAATTTTATTTTTTCATGTGCTAAAAACAGCTAAATAAGGCTAGTAAGAGTGAAGAACTTAAAGTAACAGTACGAGATAAAATCCTAACATCTACTAATGACGTCAGAGATCCGGAAATATTAAATATTAAAAAGAATCACGGTGCAGATGTATAATACGAAGACTAGAGAACATTGGCAAAGAGTAGTGAAAAGACAGTCTATCAAATTAAACGACGCAGCAACCCACAGGGCAGACATCATCATAACTACTCAAGAAATTCCCGGTCATTTATGGAATTCGACGTTTCAAAGTCAGGTTTAAAAAAAAAATCGCACCACTGACGTAACCTCAGACGCTTGAATCCAGCAATAACCTCATACCTTCTTCCTTTAAAATATATTGTAATATTATCCTCCCATCTTCATCTGATTTTCGTAACTGATGTCTAGTCTTCAAGTTTTCAGACAAAAATTGTGCATGAATTTCACATTTCTCACAGAAGCAACATTCCCCGTCCATTTCATAAACCTTGAATTGTTATCTCTAATAAAAATTGTAGGATTTCTGGTTTTCACGGCGGTGAGTCTGAAGATGGCTGTCTTCTGGGTCGTTATGCAGTGTATAGTCTGGTAGAAGTTTACCGACGTTTCAGAGGTCCTTGCTGCCTTCATCATCATGGCGATGAGCAATAAAAATTGTTGGCCAACGTAAATTATCGTCCCACTTCTCCTTTGTCCCGTCACTACCTCTCTCTTTTGTCCAGATAATAACAGGACCCTTTTTTTTTCAAACATCCGCTAGAGTTCGAGGAAGCAGAACAGCTGAACTAGATGGCGGAGATCTGTGTTGCAGTTTCGCTGCTCAAATCTATGCTTCACGTGCTGACAAATTAAAATTCAGTGCAAAAAGGAAGCGTCCAGCACGGATCCAGTCACGACATTTAAGAGCGAAATCTTGCATTCAAGGACAAGGTGTTAGTTCAAGGGCGATGTTCCTTTCATGGAGAACTTTGTACCCACCCTCCACTACAGGAGCCCACTCTCAATCCAAGTTCGTCTCACGACTGTTATACTGAGCTTATAGGATATTGAAGCCTTCACGGTGAGTGAATGTTATCGAAATCTTGCAGGGTGATCAACCGTGTAAGCACGTAGTTATAATCCATCGACTTTCATCATCAGGAGACGTGTTCGTGAAGGCCTCAAATCTGTCAGTCGCTACTCTAGTGTTAACACAGCTTCAAAGCGACCCACTTAGCAGCTCCCGAAATTTATGCAAATCCGGCAACATACGCGCACTAACATTGAGTATGCATAAGTACATAAATAAGTAGGGTACAAACATTCAGAGAGTGGAATGAGTGGAAAGGGAGATAAAATAAGATAATGAGAAGGAAAGCGAACAAAGGACAAAGAATAAGATAAGGAGAAACAAAAGAAAAGAGATTGTAATAAGAGGGAATGAATGGAAGAAAGAATATGGAGAGAAAGGAGAAAATACAAGAAAACAAAATAATTTAATATGAAGACAAAGAGAGGATGAAATAAACAAAATGAGGGAAAAAGCAATGAAAAACACTGAAGAAAAATGGAGAAAGAAAAACGGCCTAACAGAACACAGAAACAGCTGACTAATTATTTGACGTGACTTGTTAAGCAACGCTCCAGTTGCGACTGAATAATGTAGCCCCTGCGTTCTAAAACTCAGTACCCGCAACGCATTCCGAAATAAAACAAGCAACGTCAGAACAGTCGTTGCGGGATGACAACAATGGGAGGTCCCTCCCCCCTCCCCTCCCACTTACTGCACGTGGCTTGGTAACATCAGAGATAAGGCATGTCCTGAAAGGTAACAAAGATTAGCCAAGCGACTTATTTGTTGCGTGCATGTGACTCAACTCTGCGGTGTAGCGGTTAGCATTCCTGAAACCAAGTCTTCATGACGTTCTACGGTACACATCATCGGATTGGCAGCTGCCTGCATCATAGTTAGGTATAAAAATTCCAACGACCTGTGGTGAAGACTGCTTATTTTCTGTTGCGGTCGAGTGGTTAGCACTCCCTTTTAATATTCAGGGCCAATAATAATAATAATAAGATGGGTGAAATAAGTAGTATACGTTCAGCAGCAGAAATATACATAAAATTATCTCCTGAATGGGCGAAAAACTGGGGAGCCCAAGGTGCAAATGGAAGGATAATATTAAAATGGCTGTTAAATGAATATTATGTGTGAGGACTAGATTCATCTGGCTCAGGATAGGGTCCAATGGCGGCCTTTTGTGAAAAAGATAAGGAACCATCAGGATAAAATAAGAGAAATGTTTTGATAAGCTAAGCGAATCTTAGCTTCTCAGGAAGGACTCTGCTCCATCAGTTAACAATTAATGAAGACTTTTACAGATATTTTAATCAGTACTGAAGATGGAGAGATTATGTTCCTCGAAAACTAGTGTCTTCCTACAAGTCCACACGGCGCTACAACCTAGAAGACCAAGGCTGTCGTGAGAGAGAACCTCAGATCTCATATAGTGGCAGCCTACACCTCTCAACTACATCACAAACCTGCTCCTTGAAGGACTTCAAGTCTTCGCGCTGCAGACAGAAATATTCCAGTCTCCGGTACTGGAAAGCGATCCACCGAGGAAGGAACACGAGAAGCGGATAATACATTACGGTGCTAAAGAACGAACACAACGGCCGTCCCAGACTGCAATGTTGTAGAAACGTGGAAGGCGACCACCTTTAATACCGACTTTTAAATAAAAATTATGAGATGAAAAGTAATTTAATGGAATGTAAAACCGTAAGGAAGAACGAAGTTTCGATAAATTGTCATTTATCGTGGCCCGCGAGTCAGTTAGAAACTGTCACGTGCCCCCCAGGTCTTCTTATAAGGTTGAGTAACTGAAGTGTAGAACTGGATCCACCGATTATGGCCGCTGACTTGTAGGGAGTTTGGTCACGCTTTGTAGATTTTCCTCACGTATCGACACATTTGGTCATCCTTTGTCACGACTTCAACGCAGGTCACGCTTTGTGACGCTTATTATTATTTAGTGTTCTGTCTGACGACAGGTCCATATGAACAGGATTCTTCCATCCTTTTCTCGGACTGGGACCTGTTCATATACGTTCTTGGCAGATGATCCAGAAGTGGTTTGCCATTGCCTTCTTCTGTGTGTGAATGGAGTAATTGTTGGGATGCCACGGAGGAAAACTCCGTGTTGCCTAGACCACGGCCTTGCCCAACACAAGTTATAAATTCGGGCACCGCCGGGAATCGAACCCGAGACCCCAGGATTACAAGGCCAGCGTTCTAACCGCTAGACCACGCTTACGGTGTGTTATGTACGGCACGGTTAATTTTTACTAATTTCCAATACGGTAGATGAAGGTATGACAGGTTAGGCTGTTAGGATATGTTGGGTTAGGTTAGGTTGGGTTATGTTATGTTAGGTTAGCACGCATAAGTCACACAAAATCTCACTTATGACTCTCAAAGACACTTGGGGAGACCTAAATATAGATGAAGGACAATAATAAAACACTTTTCAGAGAAATAGAGTCAAGGGGTGTGAATTGTGTTCACATGTCTCAAAAAAGATTTGAATGGAAGGCCTTAAACAACACGTGATATCCCATATAACGTAGAATTTATTCAGCTGAGGAACTACGTAGCTTTCAATACGAAAACCCTGCAGCATGTAATAGGATAATAAGTACATGAATGAGGGTCAGATGGGTGAATACAGCAAGAGAGAGTGTGGACGTCGCAGTGCTGGCAGGTGGAATGGACGAGTCAATATTTGCCCACTAGTGAGAGGACAGCCACGACAGGTCGGAGGGCAGAATGTTCTTCTACCTGACGGGAAATTGCCTGTCTTTCGCATCCCACTTCATCCTGAGCTCTGTTAACTTCCCATCGATCCACATTCACTTCTGGTAGCGTCTTGGCCTGGCGACGAATTGACCCGCCCAGTTATCTGTAGCAGTAGCGATTTGGGGCGAGGTCACAGACACTTTTATTTGTCATAGCGTCCAGAGTGACTTTGGGGTCCACAAAGCCTTCTACTCAATAGATACCAAGCGTTTTTTTCCCCGAGAGCAAAGCAACAGATCAGTCCTCACTGAACCACACGAGTCCACTTTATGAGAGAACTGAGTTGTCGCGTTTTCCACAATAATAATATCATACCATCACGAGCTTCAAGCTTCTCAGGGCGACAAGTATGAAGACGGATGGCTGTATTCTTGTGCTTGCAGCCACCATTATAAGGGCGAAGCACCTAGGAAACGTTGGTAAACTTCTACCAGACTACACAACGCAACATCCCAGAAGACCGTCCATCTTCATTCTCATCTACTAAAACAATTTAAATTATACATAAGGAAACGTTTAATATTGGCTATTACATATTCATTGTCGCATTTCGACCATGTTTTCATAAGCTTATGTTATCACAGAATACGATTTATTTCAATATACATTAAGTAATTCAAATTATATTTATTACAATTTTAACAGCGTCCTTTTCAGTAACGGATCCTCTGCGGACACCATGTTTATATCAACACTTTGATTCAGTTTGAACGCCAAAAAATTTCGTGTACTGTTTCCGAAACAACCTTTGTATGAAAATAAATATAATGTATATGATTTACGAAAATATTCAACTCATTCCATAAAAATGTTACATAATATAAGTATGTAATTAAATTTTAAAACTTTAGAAAATTTTGTTTTAATTTTGATGAATTTTTAACTGCAGAGCAGCACGGAATTTCAGGAACTTTCGCTTCCATGGCAGTCTAACAAAATTGACAACGTAATTTTGTTTTGTGTTTGGACGTAAAGAGATAATTTAATCTGTTTTGGAGAAAAGGCAACATGAACAAATCTAATTGAATGACCAAACAACAACTTAAAGTTTATTTCCCTTACGTGTTCGAAAGGCACAAGGCTCAGAGCTGTGGGTCTGTCGTGAGAGAAAGTGAAGGAGAATGCAAATTGGTGTTTGTGACTTTCTTTGACGTCTGTCTGAAATAAGAACGGCACACAGACACCCAGAACTTGTTTAACCGTATCATCTGTCACCTTACTTCATCCGTGTGTTATTTAACGACGCTGTATTAATTGTCAAAATTATTTAGCACCACATGAGATGAAAGGACGCTTGAACAGGTTAGCATCTCAGTACCCATCGTCGCATAAAGTGGGCAGCACTGCTGCTTTGTATTCTCAAGGTCTTGGGTTCAAATATCGGTCAGGATACTGCCTGTCTTAAACATCCCACGGATATTTTATTCCACACCATTCTCAATTAATAACTTACAATCAATCGAAAACCCGTTGTTGCCCTCTATAATCAATATTGTTAAATAATGAAGAAATGATCTTCTAACTCCTTGAAACAACGAAAGTTACTCAGATGACCAAGGGCTTACCAAAATAAATTCGCCTGATAACTGAATTCCTTTCGCCGAAATTACCATTGGATTCTGAGACGCCATTAATAATTTCCTGTAACAACTGTCTTGCGGGCAGCACTTCCTTAATAACGTCTTTAATTATGACGTAAATTTATGAGTAACATATAATGTTAATTGATCTTTAAATTAGTGGAAATAAAGGAAGACAAAGAATGGACGAAATAAAGAAAAAGGGAAAGGTTAAAAAATGTAAAAATGGATGAAAGGAAAGAAGGAACGAAAGAAGGCAGGAAGAGGAAAGAATAGAAAGTAATAAGAAAAATCCAAAAAACAAATGGCCTAAGAGAAGGAATAAGACAAAGAAGGAAGATAAAAACAATGTAGGAAATGAAGAAGATTAAGAAATTAAGGCGCGGAATGAAGAAAGAACAAAATAAATAAATATTGTGTGTAAGGTAAATAACTATCTAAATTTTTATCGTACGACGTTGTCGTAAGAGATTTAAGCTCAGACCCACGCCTTTGTTGTACGTTTCTTCAGACAAAGAGAACGCGTACAATAAATAATAGCACAACACCTTCGCATGTCTGTAACATTACGATACTTACACCCTTAATGTTTTAGAAATCTTATGTTTTTATAGGATAATACAACGGTATTACAAGAAGCAATGAGTGTCTTCTCGCTTTCGAAATTTAGAAAGGATCTTCTTATACTACAGCATCGTTGGGATGAAGCCTGACCATGCACCGAACACAAAAAAACAAAACAAAAAACAAAGCCAGGACGTACGTAACAGCATCCACGGTGCAGTTACCACGGCAACAATCCGCCGGGTTGCGTCGCTGTCTGGGATTTTTATCACGGAGTGAGGCTGGAGAGAAATGAAGAAAGAACTCCAAGTTATCTTTCTTCTAAACTCAGGGAGGGATCCAAAGTGGCCCCTGTCCTTAACGTTTTCCAAGTTGGAGGATCACCCCTTGTCAGCTGTCCTCACTGATTGTCTGATATACTCTCAGCTATCTTCCACATCTGGAGAAAGTTTCCTCTGTATGTAACATGAGGACACTCCAGATACTCCACGGCGTCGCGACAAGAATCTTTACATGGTAGTTGAAACAGTGTCGTTAAATAACGTAAGAACAAAAGGAGGCCACATTTGTGTACCCTCAAATCACGGAGCGGAAACTGAGGGCGGAATTCAACTCCCTTTTCTTTATCTGTCACTCCGGTGCAACTTCATTATCGCAGCTGCAATAATTAAACCTTTCACTGTAATTTAATTTGATTTTCTACTTTCACCTTCGTGTCGACTGCGTTTATCTGCTCTACCCCCCTCTCCCCTCCCCACTGAACTCTTATAATTACACCAGAGCGTAATTTACAGATTTGGTCGGGTAGCGAGACGTAGAAAACAGATCTAACAGCCATCCCCGTCTGTCTCGTTAATCCTGTTAAAAAAGGATCGTTTAAACGCGTTTTCAACCCTGCGGGGCGCATATTACAATTGCTTTGTCCACGCGCATGAAACAACACGAGAAAGGACACATATATTATAATTGAACTTGATATTCGAGAATTTTTTACGAGGAAAACTTCGTAGCCATTTGAGTTCTAATTCAGATGGGATAGTTTTACATAATAACATAAGTATTATCAGAATACGTTATTCTACATAAATACTGGGAACTGGGAACGACCCGTTCTTCAAGTGCCTGAGCACTGCGGGTCCCAACTTTTCATTGGCTCGATCTATAGACATTCGGTAGGACTCCTTGGACGAGGGATCGGCCAGTCGCAAGGCCTCTACCTGTACACAGGACAGCACAAACATCCATGGCTTGAGCGGGATTCGAACCCACGGTCCCAGCGACCAGGCGGCACAAGGCCCACGCCTCAGACCGCGCGGCCACTGCGGACCCCACATAAGTGCGGTCGCTTCAATTGTTTCAGCAAATCGAAATTAAAGAAGCCTGGATTCCGTTTCAGACTGCAACACAATCAACTGATTCCTACAAGGTCTTCCTCAAGACCCGACATTTTTTAACTGGTAAACAAAGCTCCTGATTTTCTAAAATCCGAAGATTCATTGCCATGTTAACAAAGTTCCCTGCGTTGTCAACAATTTTACGAACTCAATAAAATCTTCTCGGGCGATCATCTGCCGCGTCGACTGGTTAAAACAACAAGTCGACGTTTCAGAGACCATCAGAGTTCAAATCATAAATTTTACAAACTGTTCCTCTGAGATTCGTTTTAATTTGGTGCTCCCACTTGCAACTAAGGTTTTTAAAGTGACGTCTTTCCTTTAGTGTTTCAGATCAGTTTCCAGTAAGAAGTGTGGAGAGTGTTTCCCCTTTCAGAGGCGGGATGCTGAGAATTCTCTTGCAATTTCCTTTCTGAATGTTCCACAGAACTCTCAATTTAATTGAATTATGAACAGAAGCAACATCAAATCCCGCACAGACTCCAACCAATGATCGAATGGATAACAGATTCTCAGAACGAAGTCCCTAGTTTAATCCCAATGTTGTTTACTCGCTCGACAATCCGTCTTCACATCGCCTTGGGACTATTTCGTGATCAAA